AAAATAAAATAATATCGACCAGCAGCTAGATGGAAAAGTCCAGTCCGAATTAGTGAAGCGCTACCTACCGAGCTTACCGTAACCAGAAAATCTACAGATCTCTTTGCTAGCCGTGGAGCCGGGCGATGGAGAATGTGGACCAAAAAGTTCCTCTTCCTGCATCGATCTCAGGTTTGCAGTCTTCTGCTCGAACAGATCTACGCCCAGCCACAAGCCGGTACAGACGGATAAAATGTTCAGATTTTACATCACGGTCGCAAAAGCTAGCCAAGCAGCATCACGCTACCCGAATATGCCCAACGATATGGGCCGACTGTAACATGCTGACATCCAGCACAGCGGTGTGCGGCGCAGCCTTTTTTTTCGCTGCGGACGTAGTACTACTGTTGCAGTTTATTTTTCCGGCCAGGGCCAGAATTGCAATGGACAACTGGACAAGACGGCTGCCACGTTCAGTGAGGCAATGTACGAGAATCCCATCATGGCGTTCAACTATACTATCAACATGGAGAGGCCATCGATCCTTCGTTACGTTACCCTGATTAATTAGTCCGGGCATCGTTCCTTTGAATCCCTGCAGGAGTGTCACTGCATTTCAACTAGGCTAGCTAGGAGTGTACTGCACTGTACGTCCAATGTATTGATGGAGCTAAGTTATTAAGCCAGTGGTATCGTCGATACCGGACGACTAATAGCGTTTTATGATGGTCGATAAATATACTTGAACATTGACGGCTATCTGCAATGGAGACGTCAGCGATTAAACCTGGATGGTCGCCCGACCTAACCTAGGAGCTTGCTTCGCTGCTAATATAGCTTCAATTTATTGCAATAAAGTCACTGCATTACGTTACACTGTTTTTGCATAGTTCAATTGAAATTGAGCTTCAATTTATATGCCAATACGTCGACAATATCTCTTGTTCTCTTTGAGTTCATCGGTAGGTCGACTGTCCACCCTTTTGTGCTAACAAGCCATTTTTTATCCATATATGTCCTCGGTTTCTCCCTAAAGAAACACTTCGGTATATAAACTTAATTAAATTTGTCTACTACTCTATCAAATCTGTTCATGATTCTCAAAATCCCTGCCGTACCTATTTTGAACAAACATTTGTGCAAATATTAAAGGAACGTCGTCTACGGGACAAAACGGTTTTTGGTGCTAGATCAAACTAATCATGTCACACGGACAAGCTTCCAAATAGCACGTCCAAATCACATCCAAAGCATGTTCCATGAGCACAAGCAATTAATATGGCGCATCCACGGCTTGAATACATTATACATGTTCCATTATATATACTTTATCCGTGTAATAAAGTTACAAAAATATGCTCGTGCAAGGCGATGAGATCATGTTAGGATGACACCGAATCCGGTCAAATTAGAATTTTTTTTAGAAGGTCCCAGCTTTTGATTGAAAGCGTAGAGATAGAAAATTAGAAAATGTCCGTGGTCCACAATTGATTTTGTGCTGGTGCCGTGCAGATCGTTGCATGCTTTATCTTACTAGATCTGTCGATTCCCGTCATGGAATTTCCAATTGCTTGATAGAAATCCTTTACCAGAAAAGAAAAAATAATATCACAAAGAAAAAAACAGGAGAGAAGAAGAGAAGAAAGGCACGATCTAATTTGAGGGAAACAATAAGCAAGGGGTGTACCCTACTTCGGGGCATTGGGCTCAGTAGCAGGAGAGGACATGGAGCTTTTCCACTTGTCTTTGAGGGCCCACATGTCCTGCAGAGAAAAGGCAAGCCACATGGACATGGACCTGTACTGGACTGGACGTAGAGCCACACAGACGGGGGCCCATTGTGCTTTACGGATTGAGATCAAATCCTGTTGGTCCTGCAACTGCACAATAAGTACATAAATTTTGACAATTTAATCCTTTATAAAAATAAATGAACCACCGCCAGAACTTATTTCAAATCTGCCCTTTTGTTCAGCGCCAAATCGTATGGCGCTGAACTTAGACACCTCAACGTCAAATAGCATGGAGCTGAATATACGTTGGCACGCTGACTTAGCCTCACATCCACAGTGGCACGGCATTCAGCGTTGCTTGACGTGGCACTGAGATATCTAAGTTCAGCGCCACATGATTTGGCGTTGAAAAAGAGAGTCATTTTTGAAATAAGTTTTAGTGCCGGTTTATTTGTAAAATTAGTTTTTTCAAAGTGTCAAATTGTTAAAATTTGTGCAATAAGTACTGCAACTAATCAGTTCCGTTCATATTTTGATCTAACGTTTCACATTCATTGCTACAATACGTATACAATATAATACTCACTCATTCACAAATTGATCATCATATAAGTTTATGCATCAAGACCAATGACAATTTAAATCACATCAATCAAGACACCATGCACACATTCTTCCACAATGCATCGATTAAAACCCCATACCAATTATATCCTAGCACATACACATTCTTTCATACTACATTAATTGTATTCCGATGAAATCCGTGCTCATGCAGTTATATAATGATCAATTTGAGAAATTTTGAGTTCAATTTCATGATCAAGGGACCGATGTACGGACCATTCCAAGGACGTAGGGAATAGAATGATCACCTCCCATCCATTCCCCATGGGTACAGATTTACTTATCGGTGAAATTCCTTTCGATAACTAAGAAGTATCTTTCCAATTAAAAACCTAAAAGTGCTGATAGGAAATAAGAGCTTTGACTTGTGATTGGCATTTCATCTTATTAGCTGCCTCCGAACTTATCTTGCGCTACTAAGAACCCCGCCAGGGTCTCCGATCAATTTGGAAAGGAGGGAGTAATATTTTTGCTACAGTAAAATGGTGCTACAGTGACACGATGATCTAGGCCCCTTGCTTTCTCATCATGTGGTACTAGAGCAACCGCTTAAGTTGTAGTTATATTCGCAACTGCATTGGATCCTGATCCGTGTGTTTACGGGCGCATGTTCACTTTGCTACCACTTTCAACTCTACCAAAACGTGTTACTAAATTGCTATAAAAATGTATTACTAAAGTTTGGTAGGGTAATAAACTAAGGGCTTGTTCAGCTGTCATTTTTGCGGCAGCGCTACGGCTACAACGCTTGTGTTGTGTGGATCCAGCTAGCTACCATGTAGCTGCAGAAAATACCAGCCGAACATACCCTAAGCATACTATTGCTATTGTTGTTTTACCAAAATTTGGAAATACCAAATTATATCAATATTTGACAATACGAAATATTGGTAAGTTTGATTTTGGCAATAAACCGAAGAAGCCCTGCATTGCAGGCAAAGCCTCTACTCGAGGGCAATGCTACAGTATGGGTGACAGCCTCTCACGGTCACGAGATGCTACAGTATGGATCGCTCTGCAGGCTGCATTTCAGGTTTTCGTATTTCCGATCTCTTCATCAGATTATTACGATGACTTATTTGCTCTCTATCTCCAAAAGTACATATCTTTTAAGAAATCTTCTGATGTACCTAAGTTTATTTCTAAAAATATTTAATTTAATTCATTCATACAATCAAGTAAATAATCCACTGTAGTAATCTCTGAATAATCCGTTTCAAACTAGATGGGTAGCTGAAGTAGCATCTAACATGGCATAAAAGCCTCAAAGGTCATCCTATTTGAAAACAAAGCACTGATATCAAGTAAATTCCACAAAATCTCATACATTTTGGGTTTAAGTTGTACAAAACCATACGAGTTTTGACTTTTGACTTGTTCCACATAACCACATAATCTCTCCGTTTCACAATGTAAGTCATTCTAACATTTCCCACATTCATATTGATGTTAATGAATCTAGATATATATGTGTGTCTAGATTCATTAACATCTATATGAATGTGGACAATGCTAGAATGATTTACATTGTGAAACGGAGGAAGTATATTATAATTCTATAGTTTCACAAAATCACACCATTAACTAATTTTTCTTTGATCTACTATACATATAAATTCTAAACCTATAACTGAACTAATGAGTTCATTTAATCCATCGTATAAATATTGTAGCCATCTAAGTTAATTGTTTTTCTTATGCTACAGCATTAAGTTAAATTAATTAATTATGTGGTCCTGTGAGACCTTATGACTAAAATACGTAGGGTTATGATATACATCAAAACTATTATTGTTTTGTGTAACTCGAACCAAAATACCTAGGGTTTTATAGAGTTTACTTTAAGAAAAAAAGTCAATTCTCATTTGAAATGGAGTAGCACTTTCTGCCGAATACATGCTGTGATTATCTAGGTAATGAAAGTAGCACTCTATAAAGTCAAAATACGTGCTACTCCATTTAAAATGAGAATCGACTCTTTTTATAGAGTTCTCATGAGTTCAAATGAAGTCAATTCTCTAGGTGGTAATTCCTCAGTTTCATATTATAAGTCGTTTTACCTTTTGACTACTTGAAGTTTTTTAGGTTTGACCAAGTTTATAAAAAAAACAACATTTATAACACCAAATTAGTTTTATTAAATTTAACATTATATATATTTTTTTGATAATATGTTTGTTTTGTATTGAAAATGTTAATATATTTTTCGATAAACTTGGTCAAATTTTAAAGTCAAACGACTTATAATACGAAACAGTTAGTAAAGTCGTTTGACTTTTAAAGTCAACATACGTACTCCCTCCGTTCCAAAAAAAAAGGCAAACCTTGGGTTTTCGTGTCCAATTTTGATTGTCCGTCTTACATAAAATTTTTTTATAATTCGTATTTTTATTTATGTTAGATGATAAAACATGATTAATATTTTATGCGTGACTTGTCTTTTTAATTTTTTTCATAATTTTTTCAAATAAGACGGACGGTCAAACGTTGGGCACGGAAATCAGGGTTTGTCTTTTTTTGGACGGAGGGAGTAAGGTTTTATAGAGTTCAATGCGTGCTGTGATTATTTAGGTAATGAAAGTCTAACAGCTAGTAGCTCCATGGCATTTCAACGGCTACATCATCTTCTCCAAATGTATAAAGCACCACATTGATCTCTAATTTGTTTTCACTTTCTCTAAAAAACTAGAGAAGAATGGCATTCCAGTTAATTATATCATCACAAGCTGCCAGCTGATATTGCCAACGATTTGAAAAAAGTTTAGTGCCGAATATGGCACCATTGTACATGGAACTTTAGCTGTTCCATCTCTTCCCTTATGTTTATAATATTTGGCTAGACAAATCATGTACAAGCTTCAGCACAATTAAGATAAGCTAGATACAAATTATACACGTTGACAATATGAGGGGCTTACAGCATAAAAATGATCCTGTCTGTATAAGTTCAACACCAGTCTTGCCTGGTGAAAAAAATGGAAGTTCTTGCTCCACACTTCCACAATAAATGGCGAACATTACCACATCAATAATAGTCTACTCCTTCTTGGTTTTGCTTTCATCTGCTTCTTCCTCTATCTTCTTGGGTTTAGTTAATAAGGTCACGACCCATACTCCTAGCAAGGTTGCTTGGAGGGGTGCAAGCCAATATACAAGTAGGTGGTCGAATGTTGTGTGATCCCCTCGAGCATAGGCCCAAGCAAAAGCCTACAATAAATAGCAAAGGGAAAATTATTAGATATTTGTAAAGGGGATTTTACTGTATCAAAAATTTCATTCAGCAAGATGACAATGCATGCCAGGTATATTTCTTTTCTAAAAAATACATGTCAGAATAATTTCATTAAAAAGTGCATGTCAACTTAGCAATACCTCTAATAGCATCACGATGATTCTTTTGCAAGAATGCATACGTACATACAATGGTATACCATTTAATCAAATCTAGCAGAACGTGTTTGCAGACAACAAAATTAGCGCCAGCACATATCTGTGGATTATACTTCCAATTTGGTTCAGGCAGAAGATACGCGCATTTGCTGGCAGTTTAAACTCAAGAATTTCGTTTCTGCACCAGTCACATCTTAGGTGTAGAAAGTACTTACAGATGCAGGGTTCATGACTCCTCCAGTTATATCTGAGCTAAGGAGATGAAATGTCATTTTCCAAATGCTCGAGATCCATGTCTTCATAAAGAACCCTTTCATCTCCTTCTTCTTAAGAGTCACCGACACTATAACAACCATGAAAGTTGCCAACCCTTCAGCTAACGCTCCATGGTGAACTCCAACGCTTAACGGAGCTCCTTTGCCTACTTTAGGGAGAGCTGCTCGGATGAGCTTCACTCCAAGAATCGACCCAAACACCTGATAAACAAAACAACAAGTACATTAACGAACATGCAGATCTACAAATCAGCATGTCTGTAACAAACAGGCTGCTCAATCAAAGCGATTGCCAACATCACTAAGCATTTTTAGCCCTCAAAAGTATGAAACATCCCACCTCCACCATCAATTAGTTAGACCAAATAACTCTGTTCTTCCCTCCAATTCAAATTTCATGTCAAAAGTAACAAAATCTTGTTCGTCCCCTTCCCTCATTCGTCTAGGGCACAATAAGACTATTTTCTCAAATAATTGAATGTGAATGATACACAATTCGCTTAGATTCTGATCAAAATGCGTCTAAGACAGTTAAAACATCTTACCGACTAGATGAAAATATGTTAAACTTTGTAGAAATTCTGGATGGATTTGGGTTGAAAATATTATGAAAATGATATGAGAACTGATGATATAGCATACTTTATATTGAGCTTTAGAATGTAATAAGTTTTAATGTAATTAGTATGTTTGCATGTTGCGCTTGAGGTGTTTAGTGAGTTGATGTATCATGCTTGCATATTAGGCTTTGGTATGCTTGCATAATAGTTGCTATTCTTACATATTGAGCTTTATACGCTAAGTGGGTTGTAACTATGGATTTGGCAAGAAACGTGTATTATATTCTAAATAAAGCAATGTAAATGGATTGATCAAAGAAGAGTTAATCGTGTCACAAATAAATGCACGATGTAATGTGTTTAAGTTGACCGGATGACCAAATGAGCTTATAGTTCCACAAGTAAATGTACCATTATATGTAAATCAAGCAGGTACTCCCTCCGTCCCACAATACAAGGGATTTTCAGTTTTTGCTTGCAACGCTTGATCACTCGTCTTATTTAAATTTTTTTTGCAAATATAAAAAACGAAAAATTATGCTTAAAGTACTGTAGATAATAAAGCAAGTTACAAATAAAATAATTAATAATTTTAAAATTTTTTGAATAAGACGAGTGGTCAAACATTGCAAGCAAAAACTTAAAATCGCTTATATTAGGGAGTATGAAGACATGCACACATATGAGAGAGAGAGGCATAACCTGCGCAGGCATCCGTACGAAGGCGGCGAACAGGTAGAGAGAGGGGCCGGCGCGGGATGCGAGGGCACCGGCGAGGACGGTGAGCGGGTTGTAGGAGGCACCGCCGGTGAAGCCCTCGAGCCAGGCGAAGAAGAACATGTAGACGAGGGAGAGCGCCACCTTGACGGCGTCGGCCTCGGGGCGGCCACCGAGGCCGAGCACCCCGTACACGGCGAGCTTCACCAGCGCGCCCGCGCACACCCACATCGCCGCCACCACCAGGTCGCCCACCACCAGCCACGGCCGGATGCGGCCGCGCGACGGCGGCGGAGCGGGCGACATGGCCTGACCGGTGGGGGGGAGGGGAGGTAGGGCCGGAGCCGGAGCCGGAGAGGAGCTCGCTCTCGCCGGTGGTCGCTGCCGGTGGAGGAGCGATGGATGGATGGATGGATTCCTCTGCCGGGATTAAGGAGGAGGGCGAGCGAGAATTTTAGAGGGTTGCCACCACAACGCTTCAATTTTTTTACTTTCTAAAATTGAGTTTTGAATTCGAGAGGGGTAAAGATTCTCCATGTGATTCAATAAGGAAACGAGTGCTGTGCATGTGCGCAGATTTTTTGCATGGACGAAGTTCACGGAAGAAACAGCGGAGAATATTTTGCTGATGTTGGTCGATAGGAGTACTTCCGTTTTTCTGCGCTTGCAGTTCATTTGCAAAACTGAAAAGAACTATCAAAATTTTGTCACGGTCAAATATTGAGTAAGTTTCGACGTTACCAAATTTTTGATAGTGTAGATTTCCTGAAGTTTATAAATTTGGCACAAGTTGGCTCCAATTCAAATAACTACTAAATAGTATCTAAAGTATCAAATAAATTTGTAAGCCGATAATTGGCATCAAACCAAAATTACAGAGAGAGAATATCATATAAAAAAGGAACGAATGTAAGTACAGAGCGATCACATACAAAAGGAACCAACGTGTAAAGTACAGAGCGAAAATATATAGTACAAAACAAAAGGAACCAATGTTTACATTCTTAAAAAGACAGGGCAACAAAAAGATTCCGTTGCCGGGACTCGAACCCGGGTCTCTCGGGTGAGAGCCGAGTATCCTAACCAGCTAGACTACAACGGATGCTTGAGCGTGATGTTACAGGTATATTAAAGTTGTTTCTCAGCAATTCACGCAATGAGACAATGCTCATAGGCCCGGAGACGGTGAATACATGATAACATACACAACAAATACCAGGACTTTCACTGCTTCTGCAGACAGGCGAGCAGTATCTGTAGTTTATACTTATTCACAAATTTGGATTTCCCACACGGGAATTCCCCTAATGTCTATGCCATTACATTTCGCGCTGTATTCACATGCTTGAATGAAAGCTCGACTCCAATAGTGGGTATTTGTCTGTGTTGGTGTCCAGGAGGAGATCAAACGAGGTGAGGGAGTATGGATCCACAATGACACCCATCTTCTCGCCCGCGTTGGTTATGGGGCTTGCCGCCGGCACCACCTGTAGCATTTCACACCAAAGTTTAAGACCGACACTATGGGCCTGTTCACTTTGATGCCATTTTCAACCTTACCAAAATTTGGTAAAGTTGCCAATAAAGTGGCTACATTTAGTTTGCTGCCAAATTTTGGTAAATATATAAGAAATCCTGCCACCAAAATTTTGGTAACTATACCAATTGGTAAGGTTTTTTTTGGCATCAAAGTGAACATGCCCTATAAACATTCATACACTGCAACTATGGGAGCTACGAAAGAACCATTCATCATCTCATATTTGGAAGTGCATTTTCATTCAGAAAAAAAAAAATCAAATTTCAGTGAATCAAATAAATGTAGCAAACCTTGTCAGGCTGTTGGAAAGAGTTCTCATCCCGCAGCCAACCAGATGTAAGCACCGTCTTTATGGACCCGAATTCCTGAATGCCATTCTCTAGTCCAGCTACAGCTATATTAAGATTCACAGCTTTGTTACCAAAATTGACAACCTGCAAGAGAGAATTTCCTGGCCGGTTATTTCAATTTCAGTTGTGTCAGCGATGTTCCTTAGTGGGATAGTAAAAATACCTTTATTTTCAAGTAAGTGTTTCCATCGTTAGAATTCTGCCAAGTGAGAGCAGATGCGGCCAATTGATCATAGTTTGACACCTGAATTGTCAAGGGATGAAGTGTTGCACCACTTGAGTCCTTGAAGAAGTGTAGCATCCAGTAGTTTGGACATCCATAGTGCTGCCATGAGTTGAAGACTATGGCATCTGGACTAAACCTATTCAACAGGGCATGCATCATTGGTAAAAGAACAGTTTATCATGAAGAACTACTATATACGTCTCTATCTCTAGAGATACTCCCATTCTACAGTTTGCCTATGAAGTAGGTGGGTTATCCAAAATTCATCCTGTCTTCAGTGGACAAATATGTAGCAGGGTGAGGAGATTAAAGTGTAGACAAAAGCTTGATTGGAGAAGTTGACAATTTACCCGCGATCGTTGTCATTTATGAAGAGTGGAGCACAACTTGCCATCTCGACCACATCACTGCACAGAAACAGCTCGCAAAACAAGTAAGCTTCCAATAAAAGCAAGTATCACCCAGGTGCCAAAACTAGGGCCTGTTCGCTTTGATGCCAAAAAAAACCTTACCAAATTTTGGCATAGTTACCAAAATTTTGGCAACTGGCAGGATTTCTTATATATTTACCAAAATTTGGCAGCAAACTAAATGTAGCCACTTTATTGGCAACTTTACCAAATTTTGGTAAGGTTGAAAATGGCATCAAAGTGAACAGGCCCTAGAAATGCCATAAAAGAGGCAAAAGACCTGTTTCTTTCTAATCCAATGAGAAATGCAGCTTCTGCTAGAGCAGCTACTAATGTTCCTCGGCCAGCATCATTTCCAGTCACCGCATATTCACTAACAAATGCCTGCACAGTACACACAAGGCACATGACCAGTCAGTTGAAGGCATAAAATATGAGACAATAATTGATAGATAATACCTTGGGTCCACTGCGGGGTGTGCTATCAAACATTCTTGTTTTGGAAAACATATCACCAGATGATGTATAAACCTGCCACAGAGATAATGTCAAAGTCCACCTAAGGTATTCCTGAATTAAGATGAGATTTTGTCTAGGTAAAGACTGAGCAATATAGTAAATTACATGGACATCATATAGATCAGCAGGGTTGACTGCTGAAATGGAAGATATGTCACAGCTTGATATAATTTTGATGTCCGGGTAAGACGCTTTTATTGCAGAATAGAACTTCACGTATTTCTCTACAAAATGAGACAGGCACACGGTTCATCGGTATAAAAAACATAAACCAGCGCTTCTGATGATGTCAGACATGAGAGAACAAAACCTTTGTAGTACGGCTTTGAGCATTCTTGATTCCCTACTGAAATATAATAAAGCGGAAAGGGCTCTGGATGTCCCATTGCTGCACGAACTGAACCCCATGTAGTCTTAGGGTCTCCCCTAGCAAACTCAATGCCATCAACAACGTCCTGGAACATGGCACACATGAAGAGATTGAAAGAGAAAGACATAACATGGTTTTTGTAATGTATTTGGGAAAATCAAATGACAAAAATATCTTCAAATGGAGCTATGTACTATAATAAATGCTTCCACCAAGATAAAATCTGTCATATTTTGCATAGTGTAACTAGGAAGTGATAGAATCAGCAACTATGCAAGAAACATGGCATCCATGCTGACATTTGAATTTCTTTTGTTATTTCCAGCTCTCAGGCATCAAGAGCATTTGCCTAAAAGGCATATGCCATTTCTCAATTCTCGAACAAGATTGTGCTTGTTGTAAGCATCTATTCTGGGATAAAGGCAGTCAATAGGCACCATTTTTTTTTTAATTTTGGCAGCTTAATACTGTGAAATGGTGAATGCAAGAATGTAGACAAAATGCACTTTGCACATGAGAGCATAAGCAATTTTACTTCAGATATCAGCCCTTATGTTTTTCGAAGGACCAGTTTCATAATAAATATTCGAGCACAAACCTTTACAAAAGCAGCTATTGTTGCAGATGGAATTTGTTCGTTAAGGCTGGCCCCTGCAACATTGAAAAGAATATGAACGCAGAAATCAAGGGTATATCACACCTCCAAATATCAATGAAACTTTTTATGCCTTTGCTTATTTTCTAGACACAAGACGTACCATCATTGATCACCCAAACTGGGCAGGCATCAAGGTCTTCTGCCAACTACAATAATGAAACAACGTGTATCAGCTTAATGGTTAGTTGATGCAATTATTTGGCTGCTTTCAGTTCTGAGCCAAGCTGGAGCATTTTACTTACTTGAAGGAACTCAAAAAAGCCTAGTCCATCATCAGTCCAATAATTCCAAACATCATTAAAGTGACCAGGTCTCTCTTCCCAAGGTCCAATGGTTTCACTCCACCGGAATGCGTTCAGTAAATAATTTCCCATGACATAGTTTCCACCTGCAGAAAAAAAAGAAACATATGCATAAGTGCATTATCAACACCAAGCAATTAGCAAACACAATATTTAACCATGATGGAGATTGCAATGCATTTTCTTAGTTGGTCCTTGAGTAACTTGGAGATAACAAAAAATTACATCCTTGTATTTAGTAAAAGAATGGCTCTATATGTAGGGAGATTTTCTTGTTAAAAGATTTCGTAACATATATTTTGTATGGATAAAATATAGATGTTATTCAGTGACAAGCTAATTATCATTGTTTGCAAGGCACATGTGTGCAAGATGCCTGCATAAGCATGACTGCATCCAATTATTGAACATACAGAAATTACAGAGGAAAAAGATGCCTGCATAAGCATGACTGCATCCAATTATTGAACATACAGAAATTACAGAGGAAAATACACCTTTACATCATTGATCACTAATTTGTTACTTTTGAACCTGCCTGACAGTGTAATACTGTACTAGTGCAAAATACAGTTGGGGACAAAGTATTTGCAAGATGCATGCATTTAGTGCTCAAAGTGATTGGTTGGCTTCAGCCAAAAAAAAAAAAGTGATTGCTTGGCATGCAATCTTAATGTTGAGTATCTTTCTGTATATGCTCTTATAAATTAAAAAATGATTTAAAACAGAGGCATAATAACAGATCCTGCATAATACATTCACCTATATAAATGACTAACCTCAATGTAAGATAAAAACACATAGATGACAAACCTGGAAATTTTAAAAACCGAGGCTTCAGATTTGCCAGCATAGTGGCAAGATCTTTACGAAAACCATGCCCCTGAGAGGAAAAATGATAAATATGTATACCGTTAAATCAATAGATCAAAAGTCCTTAACACCTTAGTTGGCTATAATTGAATATATTTTCTATCTCTTCTTCTTAGACCTTTAATTTTCAGTGCTAAAATGTAATTGTGATTATTATAGTTACCACTTGCATTTAGAAAAAAAAAACAGTTTTTCTATAAATATGTTGACAAATTTCTTCCTCGGAATTTGTCGATTTTTCAACCGTTTGATGAACCTGAGGATTCGGGCTTTTGTTTCTCTGGACGTTCGCAGGCCACATGCGTGGCTCATGCACACGTAGATGACAAACGAAGGGCAGACATAGGGCGGCAGGGCATAGCCGCACATATCCTCGTTTGACGTTTGATGGCATGCATGAATGCCATCCAAACACCGTATACTGGTAGATGACAACCAAGATTACGTTTGATGGCATGCACAAGTTCGGCCTGCACGTACGCGTCGTACAAACAGACATCGTGAGTTAGCGATCCCTCTTTCGCGTGAGCAGTGCCCTAACGTAGGTTTTTTTAGAGTTACATCTCAATTACATACAAGTTACATTGTAGTTACAGTGTAATTACAATATAATTATACTGTATTTACATTTGACAAATTTTTAGGAGAAAATTTATCGATAAATGTATAGATAGACCCTCAGAAAAAAAAAGTAAACTAATATAATTACATGACAGTGACAACATAACTTTATCTAGTGAAAATTCCTGGCTCCAGGTTGTGACATATTTAGATATACTAGTAATATGCACATGCTTTGCAACGAGTCAGGCCCATATAGTTGGATTGGTTGGGTGGGTGAATTAAGGATAAAGCACGGAGTAGGCCCATATAATTGGGATTGGCTAGGTGGGTGGATTGAGTAGAAAGTATCGGATCCTGTGGTGGTTACGCACACACGAAGGAGCGCATGGCCTGCTGCGCATGGTGAGAAGGGGACGGAAGGAGGACGGCTGCGCTTTTAAAGTAGTAGAGATATGACAAGACAAGTGAGATAATTACTAATTGCGTGATAAGATTTACTGTTGTTCTGTGCTTCTCATAAACTCCTGTGGCTGTATGGTTGTATGGTGGTAAAATGCATACCATTTCTGCCATAATTCCAGAAAGCAAAAGGTAGCAGCATAAAAAAGAAGTTACCATATAAGTGTCTGATGGCATAACTGATACTTGGTCAAACCAAATTATGCCATTTTTGGTGGTTGTAAGTTGCAGCCTTGAACTAGTATTTCTTTCACTTGACTGCAAATCAAACTCAACCTTTGTCCATCCTGCAAAATCTCCCTTCTCAGCCCTACAAGAAAATTTCATACACTTGTCATTCATTTTCACTATAAGAGGCACATAGGTAATAAATTCAGAATTCTCGGTAATTGAGTGATATGATATTTCTTACGTGATGGTATGAGTGGCTAGATTTTGAAGACCATCTGAACTTGTCAAAGAAACTGCCAAATCCACTGAATCTGATGACCTAATGTACATGCTAACTTTGTAGACCTTTGTTTTTTCAATGTTCTGCAGCAGAGGGAACAATAGAAATTATTATCATTATACTGGAGACAGGTCTACATAGTTCATATGTCAAGGTGGGAAGGACGAGTCAAGGAATGGCCATGTTCCATATAAATGATAATATGGCGTGTCACTAGCATGTAAAGAATCCATGGGATGTAAAATTATCTAACAAACATTTAAATGCAAAATTTCATGTTTCCTTTCAAAGATATTCAATAGACCATACTATAGGCATATGGAAAAGTTCAAACTGTCACACGAGATTCAGAAACCAACTGTTCGCTTGTATTAGATAAGATCATACCATGCCCCAGTAACCAGGATTATAGATACCAACACCTCCTGAAGGGCAAGCATTAGTTCCGGTAGCTCCACAGAGTACTTCCATGCGAAGTGCAATTGGGTTACTGGCAAAACATGATGACCTATCTGTTTCCACAATTATATTTGACTCATCTCCAATTATCAACCATGGGTCAATATTTGAAGGAGTATTAATGCCACCAGCTTCGAAACCTGTAACTTGGACTGTTAGAAATTTGCACAGAAAACATAACATCATAAGGAAACAGAGAAATCCAGGGCTGAATCTTTAAACCATTCACTAAACGAGATCTGAACAGCCAGTAACCAGACCAGTATAGTAAGGGAAAGCAAAGGAGAATCATAGCCCTACTGCAATAATTTTTCTCTGAAAGTCAACTATAAGCAATACACCCTCCGTTTCATAATGTAAGACTTTCTAGCATTGCTCACATACATATAGATGTTAATGAATCTAAACACATACATATGTCTAGATTCATTAACATCTAAATGAATGTGGTCAATGCTAGAAAGTCTTATATTATGAAACGGAGGAAGTAGCATATACAGAGGAACAAATTGATTGACTTATTAAACTATTTCCAGTGATACACGAAAAGGGGACTGAGACAATGAACATTTTTATCAGATAAACAGAAGTGCCTGTTATATTTCTCAGACCTAAGACAGCAGATTCCATTACCTCTGTTGCTTACAAGCTCTGCCCACAGTCCACCAGCCCCGGCATGGTTGAGCTCCTACAAGTAACATTACCAAGAATCTTCATCTTAAAAGTACTAAAACTAAGTAGATCACAAGTCTATTCTACAAGTTTTGTTGTCATGGTCTGAAAAGCCGAACCAGAACAGTGTAATCAATAAATCTACTTTTATGTACTAGTTTCAGTGCAAATTAGTTCTCACCTGTAGTATCAAAGTTTATCAAAATCAGCATACACTAATTGAACTGGACAGTGGATTTGTTGCATTTTTACAAGCTGTGAATTATGCACAATATGATGCCCCTGCTACAAAGGATGCAGTTGACAATAGCTATTATCCACTAAAGAATAGCAAGTTCTTTGGCATTACTGAAGCATTCTTCTTATGGCACATGGCTCAAAAATGAAACAGCTACTCCAAAGCAATGTATGCACCAACAGTTGAACAATAAGCTCACCTCAAAAAAGATGCCGAACATTTTGTCAGGGATCGTCCGACCATTCTGGGATGAAGCATCCACACTCAACTGTGCAGTTTGACCGGTAACCAGCCCAACAAAGAGCACCTGAGACAGGGCGCAAACGAGAACCAGCATGTGGAACAATGAGGAATCCAAACGACCTCTCCGAACGCCCATCCTGACCTGTCACAGCTGAAACCAAAGCACTAGCTCAATACAAGTTCTATGTGAACAAAATACATATACTGCAAACCCAAGAGCGTACTATGTGTAATTATCATGGACAGCAACACTGAAAGAATATGATATAGCAAATAGCTCAGACAAGTACAGCATGAGTAGAAGTAAAACCAACACAAGACAAGAAGAGACGTTAGCAACAACAGGTTGCTGACATGAGCATCCCATTTGCAGTTTACTTCTTATAGTTTGCAATGGGTCGCCGGCAAGCAACACGCAACTGTCGTTTTCTCCATCCATGTAAGCAATACAACCTAGTAGGAAAATACTGTCTGCATTTCCTCTCTCGAATTTGTAAGAATCAACGTTAATTTGGAAAATACTGTATCCATGTAATTCACACTTGGGAAGAAATTAAAGTTTTCGGATTTGCAGGCATATAAAGTTATCAGATTGTGAAAGTGCATGTAGCCTAGTGGTTGCACTGACCTGAGTAGCACCCAAGGTCCTGAGTTCAAATCTCCATAGGAGCGAATTTCAGATTGGGTTATTTGAGGGCTAAGTTCCCTATTCGATAGGCTAAGTTACTAATTAAAATGGCTGCATGTATCCGGTGCCGGGTAAAAAATACCTTCTCTTAAAAAAAAACTAATCAGATTTAAGTTATCAGATTTGTAGAGCATATACCACTAGATTTCGAAGAGTAGTGCATGTGAGAACTGGTTTATACAAAAAAAGCAAACAAACGGTACTCGGATAGTACAGGCATTTCTGCAAAATAGAGAGAAACCCGTGCCACGTAGACTCTTTGACGGCGTTGACGCAAACAAAAAAAGAAAATCACAGCGCACAGTAGAACTGTACGCTGTATCCACGATAAATCTGCGAAGGCAAGTGCGCGCGTGACTCCATGAGTAACATTGAAGCAAAGAATTCCCTTAATCCCCGTCCTAATCGCGATACTTAAACCAAAGCGTCGCCTCCGAAACAGCACCACGCACTCCGGCACTCATCGCAAAGAGCAAAAAAAATAACAGCAAAAACAGACGAGCCTCGCGAGGAATCGGACGAGGGGGAGAACCTTTTCGAGGGCCGCGGCGCCACCTCGTCAATGCCGGATTGGGGCGAGAGGGGGCAGCACGCCGGAGGCGGCATTTCTAGGGCGACCCCGCGCCTCGACGTCGCTGTCCGGGGCAGGCGGCCGTTGGGGGCGGCGGCGCCCGTGGGATCGCGATCGAACGGGTGGACTTGGCGTTCGGGGCGCGAGCGGGAGGGACGCCTGGACTGGGAGTGTGGAGGGCGTCAGTTGCGTTGCTTGCGAAGCCAACCAAAGTCGTCGTTGCTCACGCCGCGAGCTTATCGCAGATTCGCAGTGAGCAGGTCAACTTGCGGTTGAGTGGGATTGTATTGTTTTTATTATAACAAAGAAAAAAAATATATTTTTGTTTTACTCACTCTATTCCAAAATATAAGCATTGGCCTTGTTCGGATCCTTCGAGCTATTAAATAGCCTCCTGAAATTCTGCTATTTAGGAGTATTAAACGTAGATTGCCGACAAAACCGATTTCATAACCCCTAGGCTATTTTGCGAGACGAATCTAATAATGTATATTAATCCATGATTAGCGGTTGATTACTGTAGCATCACTGTAGCAAATCATGGATTAATATACCTCGTTAGATTCATCTCGCAAAATACCCTAAAGGTTATGGAATGTGTTTTGTCAGTAATCTATGTTTAATACTCCTAAATAGCAAGATTCCGGAGGGCTATTTAATAGCCCTCCGGATCCAAATAGGGCCATTGTTGGACTCTGACACGGTCTTCGTGATACTACTTTAACCAACAATATCTATAAAAGTGTGACGTTTTAAATAAAAAGAGTTGTATATTATAATAGTTTGTTTAACATTAATTTTACATGATTGATCTTTTTTTCTTTACTATTAATAGTCAAAGTTAAAAATGTTTGACTTGTCACTGTTATAAAAAATGCTTATATTTTTTGGGAGAGTATCTTATAAGGTAAGATGTTTTGAATTTATATATATATATATATATATATATATATATATATATATATATATATATATATATATATATATATAAAATAATTTCTACTATTATAAAAATTGAAGATGTTTCCGCTGATGCTTTGGTACGTCGTTCGTATTTGAGTTGGTTTTTAAGTTCGTTCACTTTTGAAAATACATAAGGAGTCGTATAAGAAATCTTTTTAAAACCTCGCATGTTACTTGGGACAGGAGTTGGATTTCTAATTGCTTCATAATTCTTGCCAGGCCATAAGAAAGCAACGTACAAGATATACATCATCCCAATTAGAGTTCAGAATTAGATATCAATACTATAAAAACTAGTTAGGTGTCCGTGCGTTGCAACGGGAAAAAGTAAGTTGGAGCAATCTTCTATGAAATTCATAAGTTGGAGCAAATATGGTGATGTCAAAAAATTTGTGATGATATACATTGTGAGACCACACAATAAAATAGTAAGTTATAAGTTGATGAGCCTGACTTGAACATGACAAGGTCAACGATGAAACTAGTATTCCTATGTTGCTAAATTGATTCTATATAGAAAACTAGAAATATAGCAAATACATGCTAGAAAAAGTGTGATTTATTAGGCATTGTTTCCATTGTTTTCCACCACCATCCTAGAAGTATTTTTAGTTGTTGGGTATTGATTATATATTCCACATGTATTCACACTTTTTACGTCTTGATGCAACACATCTACTTTCACCCTCCCCCATCGTCTCTCTCCCTCACCCCCTACCCGTGCGCACATGTCTTGTCCACAAGGACCACACCCCATCCCCATCCATCTATCTCCTCCTCCCTAATCGATCCCCAACCATTCTTCTCCACACCCATCCATGCACCTCCTCCCCATCCCCTTCCTCGTCATCTTCGTCGTTCCACGGTGCGTTCCTCCTCTCCATCCCTCTTTGTCACCTCCCTCCTTCCACCCATAGGGCTCCTTCTTGCTACCCCTCTCCACAGGACACATCTCCATCCCCACGCCCTACCCCTATTGCCTCTCCCCTTCACCCTGCACACCACCCTGTTGCTTCCCTACATCCGCTACTTGAGACTCCTCCCCTATCACCTATCTCTTCCTACCCCATCACATCCCGTCCTCGATCAGATACACCTCCTCTTGTCACTTCCCTCTATCCATCCCATCTCCTTCACCAAGGCCACCACTCCCCCTCATCATCATCTCCTCAACCACCCCGTGTGTGCACAATGGAAAGTAACCAACACAAAGCATCAGATCCACAGGATTCTATGGTTCATTTAGATCTGGATGAAGATAAGATAATGGTGACATCAGCATTACCATGTCCTTCAATGTCCGTGGGAAAATCGGTTATGAGGAAGAGGGGAAGACCAAGCAGGCATGCACGAGGAACTTCGTTGTCTTCTGTTACCCCAGAAGGTAATAACATTGTTTCTTTAAGACCTTCCTTAGACAAATTGGATATATCTAGTCAAAGAAAGAGAGGAAGACTACCCAATCATGTGACATATAATTCAGAGGATCCTTCTCAAACTTGTATTGTAGGGTGCAAGAAGATGGAGGGTCGATCATATAATTTGCGTAGTGATTCAACAATTTTGTTGAGAAATTCATGTTTGCTAATAGCTGATGGATCGACAAAACAGAAGCGATCTTGGGGACTTGACAAGGATGACTTGCATATACCTTTCTTTCAAATTTCAGATAATCCTAGGGAAGCTGTTGATGATATACTCATGACATTTGGTGGACTACATCGGAGGATCATGCAGTTGATAGATGTGAAAATGGCTTCAAAACAGCTTGTCTTCCAAGCATTGAACCTCATGAGAAAAGTTGGATATCATGTTAACAAGGACAAGAGGGTTGGAGAGGTCCCAGGAGTTAAAATTGGTGACATATTCTACTCTAGAATTGAGATGCTCTTGGTAGGGCTACATAGTAACATCAATAGAGGAATTGAATTCATGTCTGGTGCTTTTATTAATAAGGAAGATAAGATAGCTACATGCATTGTGTCATCTGGAATGTATGAGAATGGTGATGATGACCCATATACTTTGGTATATAATGGCCAAGGCAAAGTCCACCATAAGCTTGAGAGAGGTAACTATTCGTTGAATCAGAGTTTTATTAGAAGGAATCATATTAGACTTATTCGTAGTGAACCAAATCCATTGGTTAGGCTAGGCTCAAAGGAAAAAATATACATATATGATGGTCTTTATAAGATCGAAGAAAAGTACAGACAAACAACAAAATCTCGTTCTAACTTAAAGTTCAACAAGTTGGTCAGGGAACTAGGCCAGCCTAATGGCATTGTAGTATGGAAGAATACTCAGAAATGGAGGGAAAATCCATCTTGTAGAGATCATGTCATAATGCCTGACATGTCAAATGGTGCAGAAATAGCTCGTGTTTGTGTTGTAAACAACATTGATAGTGAGGATGCTCCTAACAACTTTACCTATTCAACTAAACTTGATAATGGGAATCATATGGTTTCAGCAAACAAGATGTGTGTCTGCAAATGCACAAGCTCATGCCTTGGTGAAGACAATTGCTCTTGTTTGAAAACAAATGGCAGCTATTTACCTTACAACTCTTCAGGAATACTTGTTTGTCGAAAGACTATGATATATGAGTGCAATGATTCATGTGCTTGCACAATTAATTGCTCGAACCGAGTGGTACAGAGGGGTTCCTATCTACACTTTGAAGTGTTCAAGACGATGGATCGAGGTTGGGGCCTTCGCAGTTGGGATCCCATTCCGGCGGGTGCATTTGTATGTGAATATGTTGGTGTAGTTATTGACAAAGATAGCTTAGTTGAAGAAGATGAATACATATTTGAGGTTACTAGACCAGAGCATAATTTAAAATGGAACTATTTACCAGAATTGATAGGTGAACCTTCTTTCTATGACATGAATGATACATTCAAGAAGTTGTGTTAACAACCAAATTTGGTAATATCGGCATTGGGAAAGAAGATTAGATTGAAGCGAAGTCGGAGGCGGAGATCAAGTTCGGAAACAGAGCAGGGATTGGCTGGAGTCCAGATTAGCTACGATAAGATCGGCTGAGTCTGAGTCGGACTAGGTAAGCCGATGTAGCCGATCCTAGCAATACAACTTGATGTGTGATGTCGGGTTGGATTGAGGTGCTTCAAGGTGATTGCCGCACATGGATAGAGTCCTGAGGAGGCAATTGTATCTATTAGTTAGGATGTTTTATGTAATTTCCTTAGAGATATGATTGGGCAAAAGTCTGCCGCAAAGACTTATAGTATCTTAGAGTTTGTTAGAGATAGTAGTCGTGTCCGTTATGGACATATCTTGTAATTCTCGGGTATAAATATACCCGAGCCCTATGTAACTTTTAACACACGTTCAATACAATCTCGGCGCATCGCCACCCTTTTACTTTAGTTTTGTTTCGACGAGTTCTTGCTTTCGGGTTGAGCTGCATCGGTTTCAATCTTCAACAAGAGGTAAAACTTGTTATGACAACTTGTGTTTTCGGGATTAGTGCTTCCATCTTTATGATACTCTGATCTCGTTTATATAATTCACCGAGCTATCATATATCTTACATAATCTCCGGCAATACCACTATCTAATCTACAATCGGCTAACATCTGTCGGTAGAAGGCAGCCGACCAGGTTAAATAGCGACGTTGACCTAAATTATATAAGATATTTACCACTTTATGAAACTTCCAGTGGTTTGATTGTCTAGATATTGTTCTTCTTTTCATACTTAATGCTGCATCAGTTAAGTTTGATATATTAAGTCGTGCTTAGAATATCAACCTCTAGCCTGCCTTCTGGTTGCCGATTAGGGTAGCATCGGAGTTTCAGCCGATCTTATCTGATTTAACTATATTTGCTCTATATGCTTTATTGACATGTTAAATCTGCCCTTTATGCCAAGATATTGTTGTATTTGAATATATTAGGCTTTTGCTTGATATTCTATACCTGTTTTAATATCCTGATATAAAGTAGTATATGAGTATTAGCCGATACATGCTAGATCTATCTGATCGGCTATGCTGTAAACATATATAGTCCTGTTATTACTATATATTTTGGTCTAAGTGATTTATACTGTCTCGGCATGGCGACCGATCTATCCCAATCACTTGATTTAAGTATATATCGATATAAGGAGTATATATCGTTAACATCTACAGCCGATCGAGTAGATTTAGTTCTTTCTTACTTATTCAAGATTGCCGATCGATACACATATGACATCGGCTCAAAGATAAATGATATGTCATCGGCACTTAGCCGATCGGCTATCATTTATAGATTTAACCGCGATTTCTTTGCTTCTACTTCTTGTTGGTTACAGGATCAAATCAACTGGCATGCTAGCACACCCGAAGGCGAGCTTTGGACCTGCACTGGAGTTAAGCAGATCTCCCAGGCCTCGTGTTTTCTGTCAACAAGTTGCCAACAATCATTAGTGCAAAGCAAACTGGCAACGTAGCTCGTTTCATGAATCATAGTTGCTCTCCTAATGTTTTCTACCAGCCAGTGATGTATGATCATGGTGATGAGGGCTACCCACATATTGCATTCTTTGCAATCAAGAACATTCCTCCCATGACAGAGCTTACTTATGATTATGGTCAAAGCAATGGTTCGGGGTGTAGAAGGCCAAAAATTTGTATATGTCAATCTCACATGTGCAAAGGTACCTTTGGATAACAAGTAACCACATAAGGGAAGTCGTCCAACGAAATTTGTTGTTAGAGGTCAGTTGTTCCTAAGATCTTACTCTATCCTTATTTTCCTAATTTTTTTCCCAACAATTCCAATTCTAAAATCTTACTAAAGTCTCATGGAATTCATGAGTTAGTAGAAGGTATGGTACTTATGAGGATAATGAGTTAGTAGAAAAATTCATCCTAAAGTATTGATGTACTAGAATGTAAAGTAGGCCTCTTACCATTTGTTTCTCTTTGTATCCATTGAAGTGAAAATATTTAATGTTTTGCATGTAAAAAATTAATGCATGCTTGTTCATGTAAAGTAAAGTAATGATTCAAACCCATCATGATGGGTCAAATTCTATGATGACATCCATGTCCTACACTTTTAAATCACACACACACACACACACACAACACAACACAACACAACACAACACAACACACACACACACACACATACACACTTAACTTCTGTAACGTATCATCATGGGTTAAATTATGCCTATACCCCCTCCAAGGGCTGATGTGGTGTGCCAATTCGGAGTCGATGTAGTATAAGTGAATGAATATTGATGTGCTCTCACACATCACACCATCTCTATGTAGGCATGCCACCTCAGCTCCTAATAGGATATGGATGCTTTTGGACGTGTGATGGTACATTAGACACGTTTAAAAGTATAAGTATTCAATATAAAAAATTTTAGAGGAGTATGCATGGTACATTATAGCAAGTTTAAACCATTATAAGCCTGGCAATTTGTTTGACATCATCTTCTTATGAATCTATGTTAAATATTGCCGAGATTATGTTTATATGTTGAAATATTATGACAATCATGTGGGGATGATGATTTGACATGCTTGCATGTTGAGCTCTAGAATGTAATAAATTGTAAATGATGTGGATGCTTGCAGTATCTTTGAGATGTAATATTGCAACGGATGATGATGTGGGATGCTTGCATATTGAACGATAGTATGTAGTGGATTGTAACGATATAGAAAGTATACATGTATACATTAACTCTATAGGAATATTCTTCTGTTTGATTATTCTCCATACCCAAATATTTCATAAAAAAACACCAAGTATGATGAAATGTTGTTTTGTCCATAGAAGACATTCAAACGCTTTCTTAATTGAGGTCCTCTTTTTATGGCTCATTCGGTTTGAAGGGGTTTTCTTAGGAAAAGTGGAGGATTCAAATCCCTATAGGAATTAAAACTACTCACTCGTTCAGAATGGATGATTTTATTTTACGAAAATGACTGGAGGATTAGGGTATAGGAAAAGTGGAAGGCATTTTCCTTAGACATACATTTCATAGGGAAAACATAGGATTTTAAATATTCACTAGGACCATTTTTTTTATTTTCATTTGCTAGGTCCAAGGAAAATTAATACTTAAACCTTAATCATCTATAATTTAGGAACAACATAAGCTATTTTGTTTGATTTAAGGTGATTGTTTTGAAAGATTCTTGTATTGAGCTAATTCCTTTGTTCCAAACAATACTTTTCTTTTTTTCCCTACGTTTTCCAATCCTCTATTTGACACGCACAATTCTATCATATTCCTATGTTTTCCTTTCTTATATTATGAATAAGCCCTTGAGAAAAGATTCGTGAAGGAATTTTGTAGGATTCATATATTCCTTTAGAATAGCATAATGCATAGAGATTTAAGAGAAAAGTTAGCATGAAGTCTAATCTCACAGAAATTTTCCTTTGAGCCTATCTCTCTAATTCTTGTATGTTTCATGTTGCTTATCTAAACCTTTTTTTCAGTGGAACGACGATAGAATGCCGATTAAATTTATTAAGATTTGGGGTTTTTTTAATATCAACAACAGTGTTGCCTACATAAATGGTTAAATTTTATGTTTTCCTCCTGTATTATGCAATTATTTGTTTTAGTATGTATTAAAAGGTGTGTTTTATTATTCGAACGTTCCAAACAGGGCCTAAGTATTACTCATTCTGATAATACTTTAACCCAATCAATGAATTTTGATTAAGTTATATACCTAAAAACTTGCATTTATACGGTTGTGCCATTCATTATTAGATTGATCAAAACCTTTTTTTTTCTCGTTGTTTGACATTTTGAATTGTCTTCTTCAACAGAATTTGTTCTGGGAACTTGGAAGCTGTTGGCTGGGTGTATCTGGTATTCTGGTGTTACACATACTTATGGATAGTGTTTGACTTGAAAGGAAGGCATGTTGTTTGCCAAATCATCGGACATGTGCCAAATTTTATTGGAATGGTTTCTTTGGTGTCCTCCGAAAAGAGGAAATGTTTGGTGTAACTCTCCTTTTAGACAAAAAAATGTGGAGTATTTACTCTCGTTTCAGCGTACTTTTGTACTTTGTGGTACTATTGTCCTATTATATACCGTATTTATCTGCTTCAGTTAGGACTTAACGATTGTTGAACGCCATCTTCAATTGAAATCTGCTTGGATGTTTGTGGCATGCATGTGTTATACATTTGTTGTTCTGCATTGTTCTTTCTTTTTTTGTGTCGTTTTGTTGGTTGAAGATGTCCTCAGCCATGAGCCATGCATGAATTATAAATTATAAGATGATATCTCAGCAAAACTTAGGTGATGTTTGGATCCAGGGACTAAATTTTAGTCCTTGTCACATCGGATGTTTAGACACTAATTAGAAGTATTAAACATAGGCTAATGACAAAACCCATTCCATAACCCTAGACTAATCCGCGAGACGAATCTACCTAATTAATCTATGATTAGCCTATGTGATGCTATAGTAAACATATGCTAATTATATATTAATTAGGCTTAAAAAATTTGTCTCGTGAATTAGCTCTTATTTATACAATTAGTTTTATTATTAGTCTACGTTTAATACTTCTAATTACTGTCCAAATATCCGATGTGATAGGGACTAAAATTTAGTCCCTGGATCCAAACACCACATTAATCAGTAAAGCCATGTTGCTTGTTAAAAGTATTGAGATATCTCTCACAACTAAGTGGCGATGATAATCTCTCCCCCATTGACTAGTATAGTAGTATTGGCATCAGTAAAGCCATGATTTCAGGCCGTGTTTTAGATTCAAATTTTTTCTTCAAACTTTCAACTTTTCTGTCACATCAAATATTTGGATACATGCATGTAGCATTAAATGTGGACGAAAAAAACCAATTGCACAATTTATATGTAAATCGCGAGACGTATCTTTTGAGCCTAATTACGCCATGATTTGACAATGTGGTACTATAGTAAACATTTGCTAATGACGGATTAATTAGGCTTAATAAATTCGTCTCGCAGTTTACAGGCGGAATCTGTAATTTGTTTTGTTATTAGTCTATGTTTAATACTTCAAATATGTGTCCATATACTTTAAAAAAATTGGCACACAAACTAAACACAACCTCAGTTACATATCCTTGCTCAGGCAAAGTGCTTATGGCTGTGTTTAGTTCCTAAAATGGGGAAAAGTTTAGGGAAAGTTAGTAGTTTGGAAAAAACGTTGAGAGTTTATGTGAGTAGAAAAATTTTGGATGTGATGTGATGTAATGGAAAGTTGGGAGTTTGGGAGAAGTTTGGTGTGAACTAAACATGGCCTATATATTGTTGTTGGATTACTTTTTAAGCTCATATTTAGTTCCAAAACTTTTTCTTCCAACTTCCAACTTTTTCATCACATTAAAATTTTCCTACACATACAAATTTCTAACTTTTCTGTCATATCATTCTAATTTTAACCAAACTTTCAATTTTGACGTGAACTAAACACACCCTCCTAAGTCTGGAAGTTTCAGAGAAAACATTTTTACGGCAATTACCGAGTTGGCCGGCCTGAAACATTCTCTACGCCTGGCGCAGTCGCAGAGATGCTCCAATTGTACGTCCTCCACGGCTCTTTACACTGCACTTGCCATGTGAACGGGGCACGTGGTTTTTACGAAATTTTCAACCCCAGTGAAAAAGGAAGCAGGTGCAGCCCAAGTGCGCGATCGCCATCGCCGACAAGGGATCAAATTGCAGCTTTTGGTCTCTCGGCTCGGGTTGGGCATTTTTCCCCTCATCGTTTCGTTTCAACTCCGATGAAAAGCGAGCGCCGAGCAGAGCAGAGCTGAGCGGATTGCATGACTTGTATCCACCGCGCGTCGCGGGTCAATACTATGGAGGAGCGACTCGTGTAGCGGTGTACCTCGAAATCTTGACGTTGAAACATGGCAAAACCGGGCCCGTCGTCCTCGTCAGGAAGCTCGAGACTTTTCGGACCTACGAGAAAAGTCGCAGGTTAAGTGTGGCCCTCGCGAACGCTTGTGGTTTGTGGCTATGTGCGGTGTGCTGGTGCTGACGACGCGACGATGCAACTTGACGGGTCGGTCGACTCGTCGTGTTCATCATCCACAGAGTGCATGGCTGCGTTGCAGGCTTGCAGCAGCCCGTGCTATTCTGCAGTACGTGTATGTACGTCCTTGTGTTGTACTGGCCTCGTTCCTTTCCGCAAGAGTTCGGCAGAGTATGTAATGTACAGAATCCATAGTACTACAACTCATAATATGTTTGTTCAAGATTCAGCAACAATAGAGCAAAACAATATGGACCGGATTGTCTGGCCGGAAAAGCAGAGATTGAAGGGCAAAATGGATCAATGGGACATTGAGACGCATCTGCAAGTGCAACTATAGGAATCCATCACAAGAAAGGTAGGAGAGCCGGGAACCTGGTTGCTAATTTGCTACACTAGCTAAGCTAGCACACTCCGACGCGCTCTGCCACCACGGACACACGGCTCACTGCGTGCAGTAATGTACAGCTTCTCTCTACAATTCTACGTCGAACAGACGATGGGAGCAAGCGATCGATGGGCAGGGCACACGATGGCATGCATCATTCATTAGTTACAAGTACGTAGTACTCCTACCTTGGTAATTCAAACAACCTCGTCCTTGCCGTACATGACGTTCCACGAGTCCAGCGTCGGGAAGCACGGCTGCTCCGGGGCAGCCACCGCTGCCGCCGCAGCAGCGGCAGCGTGGAGAGGGTGGGGGACGCAAGTGGCGACGTGGGCCGCGCCCGCGCACGCCGCGGTGTCTGCCGGTAGCAAGGCGGCGGGGTCGACGACGTCGAAGGGCGGTGGTGGCATGAGGAGGCCGAGGCAGGCGTCGTCCTGCGGCTCGACCTGCGCGCCGGTCACCTGCTGCACCATGATGCGGAACGTGGCCGCGTCGGTGCTGATGTACGTGGTGGGCGCCCGCTTCGACGGCCTCGGCCGCCGCTTCCCCGCGCGCCCGCCACCCGCCGGCCCAAGCCGGCACCGAGCCGACGGCGACAACGACGCCCGGGTTTTCAGCACCACGGCGTTCTCGCTCGACACTGCAGGCGTGGGCGCGGCCACGGCAACGCCGCACGCGCCAAGGTCGACGTCGGTGGCAGCAACGTACTGATGCGTCGTCGGCTCGGGGAGCGGCGAGGAGTCGCAGAGGGAGAAGTGGAGCGCGCGGGCGATGGCGGCGGCGTCGGAGAAGGACCTGGACAGCAGCGCGGCCGGGGCCACGCCCACGCAGGAGGCGGCGTCCATGGCGCCCGGGCACTGCAAAGCGGGCAGATCGTGGACGTGGAGGGGGTTGGCGAGAGTGGGGCAGCGTGGGTTGCGAGTGGGAATGGGGGGAGAGTGGCGATGGCGAGCGCTATAAAAAGGGAGGCGGCTGTACGATCCGGCGCCCCGAAAGCGCGTCGGATTTGCGTCGGGAATCGGGCGGAGGTGTATGGGGTCCGGACGTCCGGTGCGGAGGTGTCGACCCAGTTTCACTCACGAGCGGACAGGTAGCACGCACGCCGGCTTGGCATGCACGGCGCGGATGTGTACGCACGCACCTCCGCGCCGGACCCGCGCCGCGCGTGGGTTGACACAGTCGCATCGCATCTCGCGCAGCGGCATGGGATTCTCTAGTTTCTCTTTGGGGTCTTGGACTCCGGCCGAACTGTTGTCTCACCGGGTCACCGAGCGTAGTACACTAGTACGATACGACGTGCCCGCGACAAAAATCCGGTCTTGTCAAACGCGCCTAGCTTCTGGATTAACCATTATTATTATTCTGCTGCATACGCTCAACAGTTCCGTGCACCCCCCTCTTGCCCTCTAGAGTTTAGATGGGATATATTCTAGATAAATTTTATGATGATTGAATTAACCCTTGCGAAAAACCTGTAAAAAATTATGCGTCGTCAAAGGAGTCCTTTCCCTTGACGAGTGGTCCTTGAGCCGTTTTTAGTGTACCTACACGAAGAAAAAATGTGTGACAAATAAACGTGGAGCTGCTTTTGTTATTTCGGGACCAGCGTGAGAGTGTAATTGTGTTGGGTGGCTGTCGTCACAAGAGAACAACACGAGCGCCGAGAGTTCAAACGAAATCTAGAAGCGATCTTTCTTGTGCGCTCTTTTGGAAAACATGACGTGCAGTTGTGATCGCCGCTTCGAGATGCCACTTTTGAGCGCGCATTTCTCTTTGGCGTCTCGACGTTCTCCCTCTAGCATAGAGCGGTAGAACGGAAACAGCAATTGGAATTCCAACGAGCAACTGCACTGGCTGAAAATGACCGCGATAACTTTCTGCGACATCAAGTTTTCATCAACTTTAATCTCTTCGGAATCTTATGTGCTTTGTCGCTCATGCATCTGATCTTATGTATTCTGGGCGAAGTAAAGCATCACCCCACACCCCACTTTGTTGTATTCAGAAAAAGGTAAAGCATCGTGCAAAGATTCAGCTGCTAGTGCAGGTACAGGGGATGTTATGTATGCTAGCTGCTAGCACTGTAGTCATTTCTACTGATGAGTATTCTAGTTATACAATCGAGCCTCATCAACAGGCATAAATTACTCGATTGCACCTTTTTTTTACATGTAGCGTCGTCAACTGATTATTTTTTAAAAATATCTATAATTAGAGTGTAATTACACCTTAGTTAAATCGTAGTTACACTATAAATACACTCTATAAGCAGTATGTAATTGAGTTAAAAGAACTCAAAAGCAGTGCTTGCTTGGTGGCAAAATAAGACGCCCTTGTGAAAGGAAGGTCACGAGATTGATTTTTTTTTTAGAGAAAAGGCTCTCAAGCCCAGCTTTTATATAAAGCATAACGGAACCAGTACATAGTATGACTGGGGATGCCGGTTTAAACAAAACAAGCACAAAAGAAAGCAAAAGCAACAGCTAATCCTGCAAATTAAACTACAAAGACGTCTAGATTTTCAGAGGATGCTGCGCTTCCTGTCTTCTTCTTCCAGAGCTACTCCTGGGTCATCGTCTTCGTCATCTTCAAGCACGAGATTGATTCTCACCCCACATGTGATGAGTGCTTGTTTTCTTCCCCTCGCGCTTACACAAATCTTGGAGCACATCCCATGATTTTTTTTTCTAAGAAGAACTGTTAGATTTTTTAGCAATTCCATTTTTTTTTTCATCAATCGCAACTGAAGATTTTTTTTTTTCATCTTTCTCTGAGCATGCTGAATAGCTAGGCATGCAAGGCAAGTCTTTGGTTATCTGTTTTCAGAGAAAAAAAAGGGCAAGTGAACACTAAGGACGTTCACAGTGAGCCTACATGGCATTCGCCCTCAGTTCTCCACGTTTGAAATCCGTCGTCACGTTCGCGTCTGTCGTGATAACTGAATACCACGAAGCCCTGTTGAGCCACCGGTTCTTCGAGCAGATCGCAGACATGCGGCGCTGGGAGAGATGGTCAGGATCATGTTGTGCAGATCATGGCCTCGCCGCGTCATGACTCCACACACGCTCGCACCCAATTTCATGTGTGGCTTTGAACCTACTTGGATCACACACACCACTGTGGAGCTTGTATCCTTCAAATGGCTTAGGCCTAGCAAGCATGCTATCACCCTACGGACATAAGGGATGCAGGATAGTCATAGTTGTACCCCCAAAATGTGATTGTTGTAAGAACACTAGCTTTACAATGAAGGTCACTTTTACGATCTTTTTGTTTCGGTCATTGATTTATTGCCTTCCCTCATCCCCCCCCCCCCCCCCCCTTCCTTCTCCTCGTTGCCTCCTCACCTTTCTCTGCCCCTCTCGTCCCCCTCTTCTCCAATGGCGGAGGACCAAATTTCACGGTGAAATCCGACCTAAGCAGCGTGGATCAAGCTAAATGGTAGTGGGGTCGAGCTCCAGCAACAAGATCAAGGTCCGGTGGGATACAGGTCATCATTGCCACTAGGCCCCTCTTCTCCACTCATCGAGTTAGTTTTCCCTTCCACAATTCCGTTACCACCTTTTTACCGCCGATATTCAGGGCTTCCTGCGGAGTTGGATTGGGTTGGGTTGGAGGGAAGGGAACCTCGTTGTAGGCCATGATCATAGTCGGAGCAACTGTGCTTTCGTGGGGGAACAGGTGTTCGTAGGAGCATACGACTAATACATACGTGGAGAGGAATCTCTTAGCTGGTAGATTGGGATTGTTTGTAGGATCTAATAGTAAGAACTAAGCTAATTAAAGAGGGGTGAATGATTATTGTACCCAAAAACCAAAATTTTTAAAGGAATTAAAAATTACCCTCAAATTCGATGTAGATCGGTTTAACCGGAGTTGATCTGTCGGTCTGACCACACCTGTGCCGCCAGTCTGACCGGTGTTGATCTTTCGGTCTAACCGCCGAAACCTGTCGGCGTCACCGGTCTGATCGAACAGATGCCGTCGGTCTGACCGCCGGTTAGACCGCCGAACCCGAGCAAACACAAATTGAAGAACTCTCAAAGTAGATAACAACTTTATTACTTTTTTCTATGTTTACAAAGTGCAACAACAACAACACTCCTCACGAAAATCTCGACTAAACTCGAAACCCTAACTATTCTCTCAACTCAATGCTCTCTAAGGCGATACCGGGAGGCCACACCCTCCTCTCTATTTATACATGAGGTAGGCAGCATAAAGCCATGAATCAAACTCATAAAAGAAATCCTAATCCATCTAGAAAACCTTTCCACACAAGAAACCAACTTTACAAACTCCAATTGTACCAAATTTGGACTCCTTCCAAATTTGACTCGGCATCCCATACGCACACAATATCTCCATCGTATGCCATACGGAATCTTCACCAACCACATGCATTGATCTTTAGCCTAAGTATCCCGCATGATATCTGACCGTCCGGACGTCACCTTAAGTTGACTCCCGACCCATCACTGGCAATACTCTCCCCGTCTCCCGAGGCATCAAGACACCTATACATGAATCAAACAAAGGAACCATATTTCAAGACCAAGATATGTCCAACTTGACTTATTGTTAGCAAACAACAATATTACATACGCATAGTATCTATCTAGAAGTCATAAACATGAACTATCCACGAATATCCAATGAAACAAACCGAAACCGAAACCGACACAGAGTCAGCCGGTCAGACCGTGGGCTAGCCGGTCTGACCGCTCGATACACGCCGGTTTAACCTGCAACCCATGCTTGGTCTGACCGGACCAAGTATCCAGCAGTCCCTGTTCATCACCTGTAAATCCAATCATCTACAAAACCACTTCGCCAATAATCTCCAAATATCAAAATCAATAATCTCAAATGCCAATTGTTCATCACAGAATAAGAATCACCTGCACATACTCCCTCCGTCCCATAAAAAACCAACTTAGTATCGGATGTGACACATTATAGTTCTACAAATCTGAACATGTATCTATTCAGATATGTCACATCAGATCTTCGATTCGTTTTTTATGGAATGGAGGGAGTATGTGCATTGTGAATTGCCTGGAGTGAGTGCCGTGTGACCGTCTAACAGACCGTGTGAAATCCTTTGGTTTCACGACGTTGCAGGATCAACGTGGAACAGGACCGGAAGCACATGGCGTCCTACCTCAAACTGTACAAAGGCCGAGTTTAGTTCCAATTTTTTTTAAAACTTTTAATTTTTTCTATCACATCGTGACTTTTCTACCTACACAAACTTTCAACTTTTCCGTTATATCATTCTAATTTCAACCAAACTTCTAAGTTTAGCATAAACTAAACACACCCAAAGACTGAAACCGGTTTGAAGATTCTGTATATACTACTTGTCAGCGTTGAAAAATTTTTGATCATTCGACTACCATGTCAAGCTCAGCTCTCATTAGACAGTACCCCCTCCGTCCCATAATATAAGGAATTTTGAGTTTTTGATTACACTGTTTAATCATTCGTCTTATTCAAAAAAATTTAGAATTATTATTTATTTTCTTTGTGACTTACTTTATTATCCAAAATATTTTAAACATAACTTTTCGCTTTTTATATTTGTACAAATTTTTTAAATAAGACGAGTAGTCAACCATTGTAAGAAAAACTCAAAATCCCTTATATTATGGGATAGAGGGAGTAGGTTGTACTGGAACTGTTGCAGCCATCATGCTACTTGCACTAGTTAGCAGCGGGAATGACGATGATAATTGTCACGCTCAAACTATGGTTTAGGTTAATCATTAGCATCTCGCTAGTCACCGGCCATCCATTCCCCTGAACTCGAATGTAATTAAAGAAGTGCTTCATAGACTTTGGGTGCCACTGCCACAGCACTTAATCACTCCCACTAGCACACCTACTACTATATTAATCAAATGGTTAGCAGTATCACGCATTAGCCCAAATGATCTCCAATATCAAAGCAAATGATGTGC